AAGAATGAGTTTTTGAATAGTGATTGATGTAAAGAATGTGTGGTTAAAAAGTAAAAAGAATTTTTGGGTTTATGTGTAATATTATTTTATTTGAAAAATGTGTGGTTAGAAATAAGTACTGTAGAAAAATGAGAATGAGAATGAGATAAAAAATGGGTGTCAAACAGGGGCTAAATTGTTTGCTACAGTAACATTTCTCCACCATACATTCACACGATAAAATATTCTACACACAAACCAATAAAGTTTCTTTAAATTTTAACCACACATTCCCTAAAAAATACTATTCAAAACTCTATTCTTTCTCCCATAATGGGAGACAAACAGGGGCTTAATATCTCAGTGGTTTTTCGAAAGTTGTAGTACTTGTAGCTATGGGAAAAGAGGCCATATCAAGCAAGACAACACAAGAGTTACACTGTACATTTTCATAAGAAGTCCAGAAACTAACAAATGATTATCTCAAGCAACAAGAACGAAACAAGAACAACAACAAACTAAGAGGATGTTAAGTTACTTATTTTTAGGTTACGTACTTTGCCATAGATTTTCAAAGTTACTTTTTCTGCCCACAAAACTTACTTTCAAGAAAAGTAACCTTTAAGCTGGCATCCGAGAGAATGAAAGAAGGCATATAAGACTCACCTACATATGCAACAGTGACGCCTGAAACTACTCTTCCAATGGCTGATAGAACATATAAACAGGCAACCACCTGATGCAAACAAAATAAGTTCAAAGATGTATTCTCCAGACAGATTCATTAGAAAAATTAGCCAATCTTGAATTCGCCATTAGCAGCACAATTGAATGATAAAGAAGGTTCAGAAGTGCAGATAATTGACATTATTCCTCTTTCTTTGAATATTTATTCAATTAGTAGACATTATTTGTCTTTCTCCTCTCTCTCCGTGCATATGTATGTAGAAATTGAGGACACAGAATAAATAAATGCTTCAATGAATCAACCATGTCTTCGATTCTCCATCAGAAAAGTAGGTAACGATCAATGCGCAAATTAATATTTATCACAATCGGCCTTAATACTATTTAGAAATGTTATTAATAATTGATAAATGGGATAATTTTTAAACCATCTAGGTCAAGAAAAGAAATTACAGCCAAAATTAGGTAGATAATCATAATACCTTAAAAAAGAGGCGCTTGTCGTGGCCGGTGGCGGCGACGCGGAGGACGGACTCGGCAGCGCCGATGGTGTTAGCCAAGCAGGCGAATATCGAATTCGCAGCGTCCTGCGAAATCTGCCACTCAAGAGGATCGACAGGGACAGCGACATTCATATGGCGGAAAAGGAGGCCGAGAATGGCCAGCGAGCACAAAAGGACGATGAATACATCGGAGAGAAGTGAAACAACACTCGAATTCCGGTAGGAACAATGGTAGTACACAAGAGTACCACTGATCAGCACAATCAAAGGCCTCCCCATTATAATCATCAACGTATTCGATTGCGCCATGTAAGTAAATTCGCTCTTCTTCTTCCTCTTCAATTGTTTGCTATGAATTGTGATTTCCCTAATTCACGACCAATTCATCAAATCGGAATTTCATTACTTTCATCTTCTCAATTCATCAAAATCAATAGTTGACCAGTCTGTACAGATTCTAGATTTTGTTCAAACGTTGAAAATGGAAATTGAATTTTCAGTCATGCTATCTTACATCCTTGGTAGTAGGGCTGGGCCCATAAACCTCAAAACCAATCCAACCCGACCCAACTCAATCCAACCCAATCCAAAACGGGTCGGGTTGCGTAGGTTTAAAATAAAAAGGGGTTGGATCCGGTTTTAAATTAAAATTATTTGGGTCGGGTAGGGTTTAGATTTAAACTAGTGTTCTAAAATGCGTAATGCGTTGCGATGCGTCGAGGTCGAGAATCGAGAATCACAAGTTTAAGCGTGTCAATGCGAAGAATAGACGTCATAATGCGTTTCGTACTTTTA